CTCCTCATACATACCCCCCCTCATGTTCATCGCCCGGTGCCGATCTCTCCGGAGCCGGCGGACGTCCGACAATCAACACCGCCTCGCCTCTTCCAACTGCTGCTGTTGCTGCTGATGCCCAGCAGCGCGCGCCCACGACCGGGGGCTTGGCGGGCATGCATACAGATTACAGACCGTCAGCCTCCCGGCCGCCGGTTGGCCCAAAAAGAAACAAGAGCCAACGCAGCACGCACACCAAGGGGACCCAACTGCCGGCGCCGCAATCTCGGGGGGTCCCGGGACAGGGCAGATGCCGCCGGCGGGACCAATAACGGCGTCTCGTAATCTCTCGGTCCGTGGCCGCGTTGGGGGAGAGGGAGGCTTGGGGAGGAGGGTGGGCGTCAGCGCCGTTCACTTTCCCTATCGTGACCGGCACAGGGGGTCCCATTGGTGTGTTTCTGGTCGTTTTGGCCTGGCTTGGCTTGGCCCCCCGGTAGTATCAGCAACATCAGGACCAGCAGCAACAGCACTGCCCACGGTTGTTGGCTCGCTCGCCCGCCCGCCCGCACCTCCATGTTCCCAACCATGATCCATGTACAGACTGGATCCATCAGAGCCCAAACTCGGGGCCCGGTGGCCCCCCATGTTCCCCCAGAGGCGGAAGCTTGCTGTTTTGTGCCACCGTACAGTACAGTACGGGATGCTCGTATCAATGCTTGCTTGCTTGCTCTCCCACCAACACGGGCGGAGAAACCGTCGCGGATGCGGGAAACTCCCCAACGCAGCATTCCGCCTCCCCGGTAAACCCCCCACGTTGGCGCCTCCCCACGTTGGATAACCGCTCTCGTCAGATATCGCTTGCCGTAAACTTCAACTGCCGCACAGATGTTGTCCTCGTCGGGCTAGCTCCGTACCCCATGTCGAGCAAAGACTTTGCGCCACCGATGCCATAATCGTCGAGCTGGCTCGGTGAAGGAGCACCGTATTATGGTCTAGTACTGGAGGAGCATCCTCGCCCATGCCTTTGCACGCCGCTACAGTATCGACATGCTGTACGCCGGCGTCACTGGCCTTGATGCCAAGCCCTCGTTGTCTCAGCCGCCCCCGGCGGTCCGAGTTTGACGCCGGGCGGTGCGCAATTCCAGGCAGCGCCGTCATGTCTCACATAGCCCTCAGGATTCTGTTCACGCTGCCCCGTCATCCATGTCCGCTCCGCTGATGCGCGCGCCCGCCGGGCCCATTGGCAAGACCTTTCGGCTTGGCGACGGCTCTGCATAGCCCGGAGATTGCGCGTCGTCCAGTCCCGTCCGTCCGGGGGACACTGGCCACCGTTTCTCCTACTTGATTTGGAAGCGCTGGATGGAGCGTGAGCGGCGGCGGTGGTGGTGGTAACCTTGCTCGCAGCTGCCCAGTACGTGCGTGCGGCCATCTGTGCTAGCATGATATCCACGACGGCCAGGTATTAAAGGATTGGTCACACCCCCCGGCCACGTCCGAGGGCGACAGATCTGGGCTCTTCATCTACAGACAACAGCGCTCGGCCGAAATCATCTAATCCCCGGCTCGACCACTCCACCGGTTCTCGACTCGACAAGACTTCCTCGGGACTACATTACGCAGGGGCGGCTCAACACAACAAGATCCGTACGGGTAACGAGAGAGTTGGCCGACACGATGGGCGGCAACTATGGTCCTGACCCTGCCTTGTGCAAACACTACGCCGAGTTTGCGTCGCACATGGTCATGTGGCAGTTCCAGGTCATCTACTGGGTTCTCTTCGTGCTGAACCTGGCTGTGCTATTCTTCTCATCATGGATCTACACCAAGTACGTGGCAGCCGTTGGCTCACATCTCAGCCGCACGAACGCCAGCTAACATGACCAGGGGCCAACGAGCGCTGGAAAACTACGGTCCGCAGACGAAGCAAAGGGCAAAAACCATACGGACGTACATCTTCATCTGTTTCTCGTGTGCCTGCATTTCGGTAGTTCTCGTCGTAATGGAGGCGTTTGCTCTGTTGGCGGTGCAGTTCTGCGACGGTGAACCTCTGATGCCGCTGTTTTGGTCGACATGGGCCATGGTGCAGGTGGGCTCTCTGATAGCCATTGTTGGCACCATCCTCGCCCTGCTGCACTCCTTCAGGGACAGCAAACACCCGTAAGTTATCAACCCCAGAGCCGAAAATTGGTTTATTCTGACAGCAGCAGGCCGTGGGCGCTCGCCTTGGGCACGCCTGTCCTCGTCATCGCCGGCTTCCTGCACCTCTTCCACGACTGCACCAAGAAGCGAATCAAGAATGCGAGGCACCGCCGAAAGCTGGAGAGCATTGACTTTGGACGGCCCATCAGCCAAGCGTGAGTTTATCTGACACCCGTAGCTTTTACTCCATGTCATTGAGGTAGACTGACATGCCTGCGTACCAGAAACACCATACAAGGATCTCAGAGCGAAGATAGCAACGAGGACGAGGAAGCGCAGGTCGAGGCCGAACTCATCGGATTCACGGTGGCGGGAGGACCCATCGTGCGCTTCGTCAGCCCGCTGCGCGGGACGGCGCCCGAGAAGGGCACCATCATCGGCCACGGATCCCGCCACCGACCCATCATCGCCTTCGAAAAGGGCACGGTGGAGTTTGTGTCCTCCAAAGAGGTGACGGAAGAGGCCATCAGCCGAAGCTGACGGCACCAGTCGGCACCCAGGAGCTGAGCATATGACAAGTCGGCAGCCGTGAGGCGTCCCAGTCGGCTTGTCTCCTTTTTTAATTTTCCCTGTCTTACACGCATTGCATGTTTGCTGCTTATTTTTGCGTTGTGCTTGCTTACGTTACGCGGCGGATACCCTGACTGGCAAAAGCCTGCTTCTGTTATGATGACCGGGTCCGTGGCTTTGGGGAAAGAATGTTGATTTCATGTTGTCGACGAAGACGACGAGATTGTTTGACATGTTTTGGGCGTTTGGGCGTACGGGGAACAAAGTCAAGGTAACCCAAGACGAACATGAAGATGAAGGATGAAGGATGAAGATGAAGATACACGAACGCGCGAAGGTGTCTTGAGCAATCAGGAGACATGGGCACGAAAATGAGAGAGACGCGGGACGATTAGTATAGGAATTAGGAATACACACTGACGCTGTTTTGCCTTTGCTATCGTTGCTGTCGTTGCCGTGTTGTCGCCGTGGCCATCGCCCAATGAGGCAATCAATCACCGGGCCCGGTAGGATGTGCGGGCCGACAAGCCCACTCACTCCCGCCACTGGACCCCTCGCGGGGCAGTCACCGCCGTAATTGTGGCTGCTCCGTCCATCGGCCCAGTTCCATATCTCTGCTTTCTAATCATCACCATCACAACCCCGACGTCGCCGACGCGGCGGCAATTCTCTCCCTTGTCCCTCTTCTGACAGTCGCATCCTCTGCCTTGGATTGCGAAAAGCCTCTCCAAGCTCTTTACTCCTTTTCCTACCTCACACGCCCCAGATCTCGCGACATCATGAGCCTGGACAAGGTCAAGCACATCGTGCTGGTACGCGCCGCAGCCTTTCCCCGTCGCGACACAGGCGCTGACACCGACACGCACAGGTCCTCTCCGGCAAGGGCGGCGTCGGCAAGTCGTCCGTAACGACGCAGCTCGCCCTCTCCCTCACCCTCGCCGGCCACTCGGTCGGCATCCTCGACGTCGACCTCACCGGCCCCTCGATCCCGCGCATGCTCTCCATCGAGGCCTCCAAGGTCACCCAAGTCCCCGGCGGCTGGGCGCCCGTCGCGGTGCACGAGGCAGACCCGGCCAAGGGCGTCGGCAGCCTGCACGCCATGAGCCTCGGCTTCCTGCTGCCCAACCGCGGCGACGCCGTCGTCTGGCGCGGGCCCAAGAAGACGGCCATGATCCGGCAGTTCCTGCGCGACGTGCTGTGGGCCGACACCGACTACCTCCTCATCGACACGCCTCCCGGCACGAGCGACGAGCACATATCTCTGGTGGAGACGCTGCAGGCCGAGGCGCGGCCAGGGCAGGTGGCGGGCGCGGTGGTGGTGACGACGCCGCAGGCCGTGTCCACGTCCGACGTCCGCAAGGAGCTCAACTTTTGCTTCAAGACGGGCATCCGTGTGCTTGGCGTCGTCGAGAACATGAGCGGCTTCGTGTGCCCGCACTGCTCCGACTGCACCGACATTTTTGGCTCGGGCGGCGGGCGGTCCATGGCCGACGAGTTCAAGGTGCCGTTCCTGGGGTCGGTGCCCATGGACGCGCAGTTTATTGCCCTGATTGAGGAGGGCACGCGACCGCACTATCCCGTGGGCACACAGGTCAACGGGCAGGATATTTCGGGACCTGGGCCGGAGGGCGAGCAGCAGGACGATGGGAGCGCAACCCTGGTGAACAAGTATACGGCGTGCTCGCTGTCTCACGTCTTTAGCGGCATGACGTCTACGCTCCGGGAAAGCATTGCAGCGGCGGAAGCTACGTGAAGTGGCTGCGGATACGACTGAATGGATGCACTCTGGACAGCATAGCAGGTCGTGTCGCAGCAATGGCTGAGCGCTCGCAACGCAGCCCTAGAGGCGATGATCGCTGCCAGCTGGCCAGCTCCCCGGGCACGGGACGAACGGTTCGCGGATCAGCGAGGGGTACATGAACCGCGCGCCAAGCTGGGCTTGCCGATGACGAGCCGGCAGGGATCGAGCGATGCCCTAACTGGGGGCGCACAGCCAACACCGCCATCAGAGCGTGCTCTGCATCGCTGTACGACGAGAACTATTAAATACCGCGCGTCAGGCTTGATGCGCGCCCGCGAGGTTCGCGCTTGATACATTGTACGGCAGAAAACCGGCGCACTACTCGCCGACTGGCCATGACGCCATACATGTGAGCCACGCTTGCAGCCAAGAGACGCTCAAATGAACGGCCTTGAATTATCGCGACTTTTCCGTGTGTGACGCCCATCGTGGGCCGCTGGCGCCAGGGACACGGCGGCGACGGCAGCCAACCACGGCGCTGCCTGGCTGGGGACCCCACTAGACTTGGGCCTAACCCGACCGCCCGCACGCACCATTCGTGCCCAAACGGATCCACTGTGCAGGTACTTGGTGGGCGGAAATTCAGCGACCTGCAGCTGCTGCGCCAATGGAGGTGGTGGCCTGCTTTGACGGGAGGTGCGCTGCACTGCGCTGTGAGATGCTGTGCGCCGCGCTGTGCTGCGCTGCGGGCCGTCGCCCAACAGGGAACCAGGAACCTTCCAAGCGCCTCCCCTCCTGGCGTCTCTGTCCCACCCACACTTGCGCTTCGCCGTCGGCAGCAGCGTCAATATCCAGGAACCCAGGCGCAAAAGTCGCGATGCAAAGGGCTTCAAAGGTGCAGAGCGAGACTCAATAATCGGCGTTGCTGCTTTGCGCCCGCAATCATTGAATTTCAAAGACGACAAACTTTTTTTTTGCTCGTGTTGATTGACAGAAGCTCGGGGTATATATTCGACGGCCCGCCTACGTCACCGCAATTGGCCCGCCCAATACTCATTACCTATAGGTACCGCTAACGTGTGGCGCGGGGCAGCCCGAGAGAAAAATCTTGTCTCCCCCATCAACACTCACACGATCAACTTCCACTCGCCAACCTCGACACGCCCCATGCGCCCATGCGCCCATAGCTCACCGGTTTCAACGCTGCCTTTGTCTCTGACTAAGGGACTCTTGACGGCCGTCATCTGAGACGCGCCGCCGCTGTCGTCTACTCTGCCCCCGAGCCGCGCAGCTCCGCCTTTCATGCGCTCAACTGATCCGCTTCGCTTCCTCTTCTCGCGTCCCTCCAAGTGAGTACCACAGAGAGGCTTGCTGGCTTGCTTGCTCGCCCGCCCGCTTGCTTGCGTGTCTTGCCGCGCCTCGCCTCGCCGCATCGCACCGCTCTTCCGTGCAACGCGCTGACCCTTCGCTCGCAGGCCCGGATAGCACCCCTCGTGCCACCCCAGCCTTTCGCCTCTCCGCCGCTCGACTCGAGCTCGCAGCAGACGTCTCTCTGCTCTCGATCCGGTACTTGTTCCCCGGGTATCGGACCGCCCTCGATCGACCAACATTCTGTCGCAGAAGTTGTTCCTCTACTCCCTCCGCTTCCGACCCCCTTAACGTCCACTTCTGCGACGTTAGCCTCCTCCTACACGGCTCATTGCTGCTGGCTTCCGCCAGCGTCTTTGGTTCCACCACTTCCTGTGGGCCTACTCTCTCAAACAGACACCGCAAGGTCTGTTTGAGTGGCAGCTAGTGCTCCGCGGACTCTGCCGACCGGGCATAGAAGCAAATCCGTCCTCACAAACTCGACCAACTTCTCCCCAGAGTCGCCTCGGCGCCCGTCTCCGGAAGCAGCATGGTCAACCTCTCGGTCCCCAAGAACTACACTTTTTCTCCCAGCGAGGGAACCCCGCATCTGACCATCAATCACGATGTCGCCGCAGACCTTGACTCGAGCGGCGCCTTCGAGGGCCCCGAGAAGCTCCTCGAAGTCTGGTTCGCCCCGAGCGCCGCCACGCTGCCCAGCGGCGCCCGTCCCAATGGCTTGAAGAGCGTCTCCTGCGAGACCTGGGTCGGCATGCTCGACATGGTCAACTGCAAGATCCTCTCGGTCCTCGAGTCCGAGGCCGTCGACGCCTACCTGCTCTCCGAGTCGAGCATGTTTGTCTTCCCCCACAAGCTCATCCTCAAGACGTGCGGCACCACGACGCTGCTGCTGGGCCTCCAGCGCCTGCTCCACATCGCTGCCGCCGACGCGGGCTTCCCCTTTGACAAGGCCGCCTCGGTCGACGACATCCGCGCCGCGGCCATCCCGTACCGCGTCTTCTACAGCCGCAAGAACTTTCTGTTCCCCGACGAGCAGCGCGGCCCTCACCGCAGCTGGAAGCAGGAGGTCAAGTACCTCGACGACTCGCTCGAGGGCGGCGGCAGCGCCTACATGGTGGGCAAGATGAACGGCGACCACTGGTACCTGTACATCACTTCGCCCAACCAGACACTCACCCCGCCCCTGACCCCCGAGTCGGAGGTGCACGGCCAGCCGACGCCGGAGTACTCGGTCGCCTCGACCGGTGCCAACACGCCCGGCGCCAACCTCAACGACGAGACTCTCGAGATCCTCATGACGGACCTCGACCCCGAGAATGCCAAGCAGTTCTTCTTATCCGACGCGAGTGCGGTCGCGACGGACAAGATGGCTGCAGAGGCCCGGGCGGCTCGCCAGGCGGCCATGGACAGCCTGGGCGACCTGTCCACCCCACCCGAGGAGGTGGACGTGTTTGAGATTGAGAACTGCGGCGACTCGGACTTGGACGAGGCCAAGGCCAAGCTCACCAGCGCGACCAAGGAGCTCACCACCGAGGAGCTCACCACCGAGGGCCACGCCCTGGGCACCGTCGTCTCGGAGAACTGCGGGCTGTCCCAGGTCTACCCGACGTCGGTGTACCCGGACGCCCGCGTCGACGCCTACCTGTTCAGCCCTTGCGGCTTCTCTGCCAACGGCGTCATCCCGGCGCCCGCGTCGGCCGAGACGGACCAGCACAACTCGACGCACTACTTCACCGTCCACGTCACCCCTGAGCCGGGCTTCTCGTACGCCTCGTTCGAGACCAACGTGCCCAGCGGACAGAAGGGACGCACCACGGCCGAGATCATTGAGCACGTTGTCGACATCTTCCGCCCGGGCCGCTTCAGCGTCACCCTCTTCGAGGCCAAGGGCCAGGGCGCCAACCCCTACGGTATGGGCGACGGCACCCTGAAGAACCTGGCCATGCAGCGCCTCGTCGACCCCGTGCGCGGGTACCGCCGCGTCGACCGCATCGTCCACGACTTTGAGGACTACGACCTCGTGTTCCGCTTCTACGAGCGCGAGGACTGGCTGGGCGACAAGTCGGCGCGCGTTGGCGAGGTCAACATGTGATTTGGTTGGCCTTGGATTAATGAATGCGGCTTATCTATGGCTGCTGCTCGGTTTTGCTGGTTGCGCTCTGCTCTCTGCTCTCACTCAGGCTGGCCGTACTTGTCGGTCATGACGCGCCTGAAGCTGCGATTTCGGGGCCACGTCTTATCATGGCTCGGCTGCGATATTTGCCTCTGAACGCTCGAGTATGCTCTTTTATGGTTTTGCTGCGACTGAATACATCACATTCCAAACTTTGCAAGCATGTTCCCGTGGCATCGTGAGACGTGACAGAGTTTTATTTCGTCCCTGGCCTCCCGCCCGCGTGTTGGCTGCAGGAGCAGTGGCAGGCCAGATGGATCGTATAAAACGAGATGCAAAACCGTGTACTCCTTGGTCGCGCCTCCAACATCATCATCCATACATACATGCTCACCCTAATCTTTTGCTCCCATACGATCCTCAAAGCTGCAGTTCCCCCAGTTAGCCCCCCTCTCCCCATCGTTCCACTACTATCGTGAGATAGGGTTTCCATTCGAAGTCGACCGGGCGCTGGGCACCGGGCGCGCAGCGCATTCGTACCTTAGAAGCAGTTTGCCTCGGGGGCCTCGGGGTGGGGGTGGTTGCAGCTGCCGCCTCCGGGAGGGCACTGACGTGCGGGGGGAACAAGTTCATCATCAGCCAAACGGAACTTGGGTTTCACGCAGTGTCCTCTCCTTAGTGTATTCTGGGACTCGACTTCAATGGCTCTGATTCTCCTCGTGTCTAGACACCTCGGAGGAAGAAAGAGAACGAAGGGGAAAGGGAAAAGAGGAAGGAAGGCAGGAAGGAGGGAAAACGGAGAGCGGGAGGGAGGATAGAAAGGAAGGAATGAAAGGAAAGGAAAAGAAACGTACCGGACTGTGGCTGTAGCAAGGCATGACCTCGCTGTGCAGCTCGAGGAGCACGGGCTGGCCCCTGACGTAGCCGTGCTGGTTCTCGATGAGCACGAAGTTGGACCGGCACTGCTGCGTGGCGTGGTCGCACGTCTACATTTGCACGCCAAGCACCCAGATACTCCGATTAGCGTTTCTCTGCGCACGACTATGTGTGTCTCGCCACATGCAGGTGGGAATTGCAACGTGAATGAACTTACCCCCTTGGTCTCGCGGTTGAAGTTGCCCACGAAGAGCTTCGCCGTGTCCATGTCCGTGTACTTGGGGAGGTCGAGGGCCGTGACGTGTTGCTGCGTGCCGCTGAGGAGGAGCAGCAGGGGAAGGGTGGTGGTTGAGCGGAGGAACTTCATGGTGCAGGTGTGGTGAGGTTTGGATTTGGGGATTGCTTGTTCTGATCGGGAGGCAGATGGCTTTGACAATGGAGATGCGTTGGCAGATTTCGTGTTGGTGTATGAGCTGCTGAGAGGACATGAAGCCCTCGTCTCTGTTTATATGCATCAAATGGAGCCACGTCGTCTATATTTTGCCTAGATAACTGTCAGCAAGCAATTATCGCTTTGGTAATGATTGCGTAGAGAAAGCAACACACATGCCTGAACCTGATTTAAACATAAATACGAAAACGATCGCTGTCAACATTGAAATGCCTCGTCGGCAGCCTGGAGGTTTCTCGTGGGCCCGGACCTCGTTCGCCCTATGACTCCCGGGCGACAACAAGAGCGCGGCGAACCCGCGGCGGGACGCTGTTCGGTGCTATTGTCACATGGCTTGCTGGGATGGCAAGATTGCGTTGACTAAGTCGGCTCAGCAAGCGATACTGTCTAGATGATTCGCGGTCGTGCTCGTTCCGGATTGATGATAAGTGAATCCCATCAGTGACTGTCCGCTCGTTGCAACCATTATCTGGTGGTGCAGGCTTGTTTGTATACGTGTCGGGATGGACGAAATCGTCATTACTCATTTCCCGCTACATGCATCTGCGAGGCTGTCAGAATATTGCACGATTTTTGGATGAGTAGGCGTCATGTAAAGTACATAGGTACCTTACAAAGTCTTCCACATGACGAATTATATAGAAGTGAGAAAGTCGATAGTCAGATCATCACAGCATTTCCCTGTGCCATTTTCTTCCTCCTGCTTCACATTTCTGTGGTCACCAAGTTGTACGGATCCCAGCAGTGGCACGCCAACATTGAAGCCGTCTGACCGAACCGTCTCTTTCCACCGTTCCATGCCCAGCTATCGGGAAAAGCACTACTCTTGCATGATGACTAAACTGCTCTACCAACACTCGCCAACAAGTTTTCAGATAGACAAGATGTCCATGGGAGCATCGGGGCGGTCAAACCCTCTCTGCTTCCGGCCGGTTCAACTCCGTTGTAGCCTGCCTGTCCCTGCCAAAGCGCTTACGTTCTGGTCGGGATGTACGTGCCGAAGTGGACTTGGCTCAGGTTACTGCATGCTGCCTCCTGTCCCATGAACGGCGTCTTGCACCTGCCTCCGTAGGAATCACACTGTCCACGGCACCGCGTTAGCGCCTTGACATGAACTGGCTTGGACGTCGGGCAAAACATGACGACAGCCGGATCAATCGGTGGTGGCTCCGGTCGAACAATCAGCCTGCTAGACTTACCGGGTGATGATTGGAGCAGGGAGAGGTAATGTACCTGTCCTCGAAGACCACGGCTTCTCCAGGCCGGTGGCAGGACTCGTTGGCGATCTCGACGTCTGGCTCCCTGCAGGTCTGATCCTGGTTCGAGCACACCTACGCAACATCAATGGGGCTCGATCCTTAGCGTGCGATCCGATCCTCACACGGCTGTGGCGGAGAGAAAGCCATGTCGTTGCTCACCCCCCATGCCTCATTGCGGAAGTCGGCGACGTATTGTCTGGCGGCGGCCATGTCCGTGAAGTGCGGGTGCTTGGCCAGCACGCCGCCTTGGAGCGCCGTGGACAGGAGGAGGGCGAGCTTGTAGTTCATCGTGTTGGGGGGATGATTTGCACACGCGTGCTGTCAAGTTGAGAAGCAAGGTAGATAGAGACGAAACGGCACCGATAATAGGACGTTGGCTGATACAAGCTGTCTCATGCAAAGCAGATAGCAGCGTCTTGGTTATATACACTGTCGTTAGCGCGGGTAGTGCCGCAATCGATGGGTTACTCATGTTTTTTACGCTGCGCATGTGTCAAGACTTTTCATGCTCATGTTCTGCCACAAGTCTCAATTAGCAGTACATGGGGAGGTGAGCTTATCCATCACCACAGCTAGCTTGTCTTACTACAGATTTGCGACAGAGTATTGCCGAGTCCGGGCAAGGAAGATGGGAGAGCACCGAGCTTGCGTTGGCTCTTTATCATTATCATGGCAGTTTATGGTTGTCAATTATTACAGCCTAAGCGCTTTGACGAAAGAGCTCTATATCTACACGCGGCGCGCGTCCCGTCCCGTCCGTCTCCGATAGCTAAATATACGAATTACATACTACAACTAAAACCCAGCAAACGATTGCCTTGCCGGGCGACAGTAGCAAGCTTGGCTTGGGCGGTCCCAAACTCCACTCTACAAGTGGAATCGCGGCCGTCTTGTTCCATAACAACGTCCGTCCCACGGCTGTACGTTGTAAGTGAGTGCGTCTTGTAAGTGCGTGCACTGAGCCACACGCGCCCTCGCGCCGGGCGTATCGCCCTCAAGGCTGAGATGAGCCGTGGAGATGAGAGCAAAAAAAAAGGGCGCAAAAAGTATGGAAACCCAAAGATCAAACAACATAATCAAGGATAGCGATAACTGTCTTGCAACGCTTACAGTGCCATTGCCACCTTGTCACCCGACGGGCAACGATCCCTGTGCAGTGTGCGTGTGCGCCAGTTGCGGTTCGGCGGCCCGCTTCCCTGCCAGGCCAGCGTCTGGCCCCAAGCCGCCCGCCGTATCGATAAGCAACACGTGACTGCCATCTCCCGCCGCGCCCGCCGAAATTTTTCAAGAAAAAACGCCCTGCAACACCACCACAGGCCGTCCGGACCGTATCAACACGACCACCAGCACAAGCTCTGCGCCCACATCCACACCGGTCAATTCCACTCCCCTCGTTCGTTCGGGATCCGACAGCGATTGCCTACCTCGACCACCACCGCCGCCGCCGGCTCCTCAATCCCTCTTCCGACCCAACGATTGATCAATCGGAGCAACCCGCCGCAGCCGCCGCCGCCATCATGCATCTCATGTACACGCTCGACGCGCAGGGCAACCGCCTCTACACCCTCAAGAAGGTCGCCCACGGGCAGGTCACCAAGTCGGCGCACCCGGCGCGCTTCTCGCCCGACGACAAGTGGTCCCGGCAGCGGGTGACGCTGAAGCGCCGCTTCGGCCTGCTGTTGACGCAGCAGCGTGAGTAGCCACAGCCCAGCCCAGCCCAGCCCAGCCCAGCGCTCGCTTTTCGCCCTCCTCTCCCGCCCCCTAACCACCCATCCTGAATCCTGGATCGAATCACCCTGTCGGGGGTGCGATTGGGATACGGATTGGGTTGGGGTTGGAGGGGGAGGGGTGGAATGGATTGGATTGCAAAGTGTGTGCGTGTGTCTATGTATGGATGGATGTGCTGACTTGGATGGTGTTGTTGCAGGTGAGGAGAAGCTGTAGATTATAACAGCGCGAGGGCACCAACGAACAATTGAGCTGAACGGTGGAGCGGACGGTGAGGGCAAAGAAGATGCGAGGATGGGAGCAGACATGGGGCTTACGGGATAGCGCACGCCTCAGGTCGTCTGTCGAGTGAGACGGGACAGTGGATGGGAGATCGAGGATGGAGGATCGAGGAACCTCATGGGCTGGCGTTTACGGCCACGGTCACCACGGCGGCCTCGGAGTTGGGATTCGTCAATTCAATCAAATCACATGCTTTTTTATTTCATCCCTATATGCCCATTGCGCCTCTATGATGATGATGATGATGATGATGACGGTGATGACGGTGATGGTGTTCAAGTCGTAGCAACGTTGCGTTATATCCTCCCTCACAGGCAAATCCCCCAGTTGCCATGTCAGTGCTTGCGCTTCGAGTTGACGTTCCGCCCGGCGCCCACGCGAATCTTGCCCCCGCTGCCGCCAGACCGCGACCCCGTCAGTATACCCGGCAGGTAATCCTGGTCCATGACGTCGAGCTTCCTCTCCCTGCGCTGCTCGTCCTGCGCGCGCGTAAACTCCTTCTGGTCCTCGGCGAGGACGAGCCCCGCGCCCCAGCCGTTCTTGCCGCCGCCGGCATTGCGCGGCAGGCGGCCGTTGGCGCTGCCGTGCACGGGCTTCGGCACGCTGTAGACGTTGCCGCGGTTGTTCCACTGAAAGTTCTTCTTGAGGTGGACGCGGAAGTTGCCTCGCTCGTCGGTCGAGCAGCTGGCGCGCATGAGCGTCGGCTGGCCGCACGACGGACAGAACTGCTTGTTCATGTCCTTGGTGACGGTGAAGCAGCCGTGGCAGCGCAGGACCCAGCTCTTGAGCCGCGTGATGCGCGCGAGGGACGGCGCGACGAGGTTGAGGTTCATGCGCAGCGCGACGTTTTGCATGGCGTAGTCGGAGGTGAGGACCGCGGCTTGCAGGATGAGGGGCGTGGACGAGCCGCCAGAGGGGCTGGCTGCCGAGTTGGCGTCGTGGTCCTTGTGCTTCTTGACGTTGGAGGGCGTGATCCAGCCGTCCGAGTCCGAGTCGGAGCCCGCATCGGCGTCTTGCTGTACAGACACGGTCTCGTCTTCCTTTTCTCCAGAGACTTCCGCGGCTTCGACAATGTCGGCGCCTGCTGATTCGTCGAGTGGTTCTTGATCGGCTGAAGCCTCGTTCAGATCCAGGTTCTGCAGCTTCTCCTCCACTTGTTGCTCTGCCGGGGCAGCTTCGTTGCTTTCCGCCTCTGCAGTAGCATGCTCTGCCGGCTGCTCCGCCGTGGCGTCGGCATCCGCCTGGGGCTCTTCATCCTTGGTCTCCTTGGCCTGCTTGTCCGCCGCGTCGCCCGGCCGCCCATTCAGGCCCTTCTGCCCAGGCGTGTTCCTCAACCGCCAGTCCCCGCCGTTGCGCTCGCACTCAAGCTCGTACCCCAGCGCCAGGACATCGATATCCGGCCTGCTCAGCACCGCGAGGTCGCCCGTGCGGCGCGCAAAGTCGCGGATGTGTTTCACGCTCTCCGGACGCGGGGAACGCAGCGTGACGAACGGCAGCAGCGTCGTCTCGACGCGCGAGCGCGTCTCGGCGTCGCGAATCTCGGACACGATGACGGGCAGCGTGTACAGGCATTCGGCCTTGGCGAGGAGGGTGCTGACGGGGGGGTCGTTCTTGATCAGCGGGCCGGTGTCGAGGACGAGGCTGCGGATGGGCTTCTGCTCGGTGGCAGGCTGAGGCGGCGCGGGGCCGGCCTCGGTCGGTGTGGCCATCGATGCGTCTGCAGAGATGTGCGCCACGTGCTTGATGGTGTCTTGCGATTGTCAGGGCCGATGCGGCGACGGGATTAAAGGCGGCGATTAGAGCGTTGTGTGACTTTTGGCCCAAGATCTGGTATCGCCCACCAACGCGGGGCACGACCTGTGTGGTGCAGGAGAAAAAATTCTTATCGCGATAAGATAAGGATTGCTTATCGCGGGCGGGATGCACACCGAGGTGAGCGGAAGCGGGAATGAAACCAACGTCATTCGTCGGCTGATGCACGCGGCGAATGAACCGTGTCAAACACTGCGAGCCCGTTTGTGCTCTGCCATTCCAAATAGCGAGTCTCACCTATTCCGAGCCATGTGTTGCTTCCCTTTGTCCGGGCCATGGATGCAGCGTCTACGAGGTGGGCTAGCATTGTTGTTCCGCACTGCTTCAACTCTGGATACCGGTTGCGGCTCACAACCACCAAACACCTACGACAGCGCACGGCGCTGGCACGCCACATTTCATGCACGAAATGACCAGGAGCAAGAAGGCGAGAATCAAGGCCAAGAGTCCGTCAGCAACCGTGACAGTTGTCCCGGCGGCGCATTGCCGTGCCCAATGCCACCAGACTGAAACACGATCCGGTACAGGGTAAGCTCGGCCAGCAGCGGCCAGCGGAAGCGGGTTCCGTCCGGATCGACACAAATCCAGGCCGCAGCCGATGTAGCGTTCCCGCCGTCATGTCTCGCACGCTGCCTTGGCCGTCCGGACGTTGCCAGGCCAGGGTGTCAGCACGAGAGGGCGCTGACGTCGTGTCGTGCATGGAAGGATCGTGGAAGTACAGTACAAGCTGGCAAGCAAGGAGGGCCGCTGATCCCCAACAATATCTCGCTTGTTAGTCGTTACCCCATGGGCATGGGCACGGAGTGCATCTCCAGATCCGCTTCGGCTCAGGGACATCGGTGCATCAGCCGCCAATGGCGGCGGGCAGACTCGGGACGCTTCATTTCCATGTCCCCGCCTCCGCCATTGTGCCTGCAGCTGCGTGGATTCGTGCCAGCCAGTTCCCGGTTCCTCGTACGTAACAAGAGACGAATTGCCGCGTGTGCGTTTATACCGCGATGGAGACGCCAGCGCGGAGCAAGCCTGACACTGGCTGGCGGCGCGATGGTGCGGAGGAAGAGGACCCCCCGTGTGCCTCCCCGTGGGGGACGATGGAGACTTGGTCAACGAACTGGCTGCCAATCGCAGGCATGATGACAGGACGGGTTTGAGACGCTGATGCTGACGTACGTATTGCAGGGTAGAGCCTTGCGGTTCGCGCTCGTATACGCATCTGGGACGGCGGACGACGCCAGCTGGGAGTCGGCCATCCCGTGTGGCAGCCACGGGCCGGAAGCGACGGCGTCCTGAGACGGAGACGAGGACCAACACGGCTGTTGCAGAAGCCGTGTGGGTGGGCGGACTCGGGCTGCGTGTGGCTGGTGTGAATCGCCCTGATATGTAAAATGTATGCACGATCTTGTTTCTGTTGCCTTGAGGTGATCGGGCCGTCGAGCCAGATTTGGGTGGCGTGCAGCTGCAGAGTGCGCAGACGGGTTTCACCTCGTGGGTGGCGCACACCGTTCGGCAGTGTCCGGCAGTCGTGAACGAAAAAAATTGCGCCGACCAAGAGAATGCGAAACCAACACGGGCAGCTCACGAACGCAGAAATTCTGCAAGGGGCGTTATTGCGGCTGTGATGGGTTGCTGTACGGTATGGACAAGAACGTCCAGGTGACTGGTCGTCGCGGGACTGCTGACGGCCAGTAGTGGACTGTACGAGAACTGTGCTGTCCTGCGCTGCGCTGTAGTACCTGCAGATGCTCGTATGACAGGCGGACGGGTCAGGTCACCAGTGCCGGCCGGGCCAGCAGCTGGACTGGGCGAGCCATCGGCGCTGTTTCGTCGAGATGGGCAGGGCAGGGACGGGTCCCATTACTCGCGACTCCGTGCGATTTTCTGCGCGCGCGCATTGTCGGCGGAGCCTCGTGGCAAGGGGGAGCGACCGGGACCGGGGGGGCGCCCACGCATGTTTCCTCTGGCGCGCGTGCGTCTCGTGTCGGGGCGAGCAGTGGGTTCTGGCGACAGTGGACGTCGCCTTTGTTCGCCCGCGTCGAGGGATTGGGCCGTTGGACAGGCTGTCAGACTGTCTCGTCCCTTGCCGCGCTGGCCGGGTTGGCCTCGTCGGGCAGTCTTCGAGAAGGCTTCCAGCCCCGATTGCCTCCGCAGATCCCAGCCACAAAGCCCGGCAGTGGGTAATGCGCCAGCACCCAAGGGGAATGGCCCCGGAGCGGCGGGTGAACGAGAGAAAACTGGCCACCGAGAGGTGTGTGTGGGCCGGGCCAAGGCGCGGCGGCGGCGGCGAATGATGCAGCGCGGTCTCCTGATGGGGGGCGGCTTGGTTTTGGTGGTGGTGGTGATGGCTGGTGGTGACGATGGTTGATGAGAAAAAGTCATGCGCCGCGGCGTATGCAGGCTTTCTTTCCTTCGCAGCGGCGTGGTTCGTCGAGGCGCCGCGGGAGTCGGTCGGTGGCTGAGGTGGGCAGCAGCCGCTGCAAAGCCCGCTGTCGAGTCGGGTGCGTTGAGGTGAAAAAAGGGACGACGGGGCTTCTTCCAGGTGGTGGTGGTGGGTTCTGCAGTGGCCTGCGCTGCGGCTCGGGCCCCGTCTTGGCTGCGTGACGCATCACAGGGGGAGGGATCCACGCGCCTGGGTGGCACTGGCCAAGGAAGAATCAGCCATGCGCCGCCCGTGCAGGCCATTGACTGACGGATGACGGGCGCCGCAGATTGTGTGTGTGTGGCGGCATTGAAGACTGAAGATGAGGTGCAGAGAATGGGGCCCTTTGTCGGGCATGGAGTGAATGGAGTGAATAGTACTCCGTAGGCGGATCAATGGATCCGGGCAGTGATCGATCCGTCTTCAGCGGGTGTCTCGCCTGCTGGCGGCTGCGACAGTACCTCCCGTCCACTAGGTCAGGCTGCTGCGCTGTGCGTGCCCTCCACTCGCACACACTCTGCGCGTGTGGTGTTTCCAGCGCTCCAGGGCTGGGAATTGGCGCCTCAACTGTGGCTGGCACGCCGGGGGCTTGGCCGCGGTCCTGTCGGTTGCGGCTCGCCCGGGCGGCGGCGGCAGGGGCTTTTGACTGGCGCACACCCTCTTTCGGGAACAAGGCAGAGAAATTTTTCCCGTTTCGTCACTGCCGCGATCCGAAGTCGACTGCCGCCAAGCCAACAGCCTCATCGATTCCCCCCTCATGCTCGTCAACCTCGTCCGTCCGTTGCAGCGACCGCGTTTGCATTGTGCCAAAGAACACACGATCCGCTCGCTGCGAAAACCGCCAGCCAGCCAGCCCACTCGGCCAGCCTAAACAGGCTGTACTGGCGCGCGCGACGGGTCCCTCTCTAGGTCTCTTCTGGTTCGACCCATTGTTTCCGTCGGGGCGGCCTCGCATCCTCGCAGCAGGAATGGCGACGCTACCCAAGGCTACCCCAGGAATCGTTGGGATAGCGGGATTTCTCGGGCATACCTTGACACATGGAAACTGACTCGGCCAGAGGCAAGACGACGACGGACGGACGGGGAGGGAGGGGGGTGCGCCAGGCTAAAGTAGCAGCAGGCGTGCAGTGCGCTGCGGTGCAAAGCTGGGGCCTGATCGCCAGCGCGGCGGCCGAACGTCGAGAAGCACGGCGGAAACGGAAAACTCGGACTCAGACAGGCGCCTTGACAGCCCGAACAGCGCGCGCCCGCCCCACACCGAGACCCTCACCTTGCCTCGCCTCCTCCTAACCTCCAGCTCCTACTCCATCCATCCATCCAGCTATGCTACCGTGGCAAAGTGCGAGTCGCCCACCTCCACCACCACCACCATCCGTAACGGGACGCTACGCCACGAGCAGCTGTAACCGCCCGTCCGCCGCACACGGCATCGCAGGGCCGATCCCATCACATAATGGCCGGCCAGCAACGTTTGCGGGGGACCACGGTCTGGGGTACAGTCCGGTCCAGTCCAGTCCAGCATTCGACGACGACTGCTGCACGCGCCGCCCACGAGCAGCATGATCCTCGTGCCCGCGTCCGCCCACCCCCATCTCCACAGGCTTTCGCCCCATCGCCCACTGCCCTCGAGTCCAGCCGTCGCCGCATCCTCTCTCGCGTCGAGGCGAGCCAAGGCCACTCGGCGGCCAGCCAGATGGCCCAAGCCGCCTTGTACAATACCGTCCGTCCCGTCATGGCGGCCCCGGTGGATGGCATGGACAGGACAGACAGACAGACAGACAGACAGCCCAGCCGCACCCGTTCTCGTGCCGAATCTCGCGCAAACTGCAAGAATGCGCGACTTGCGAGCCCACCTGACCCAGCCGCCGAACCCGAGTGTCATGTATGTAATGCCCCTCTGCTCAATGGCAGCTAGTCTCCCCCCGACTTCCGTGCAGCAAGCAAGCAAGCAACCCTCCTCGATCATCGCCGCGCCGCCGCCCCCCCTCGACCCACTTGGCATCCGCTTCCTCTCCTGGCTCTGCGGCTTGGCTTGGGTCCCCAGCCTCGGGACTGGCCCTCGTCTGCTGGCCCGTCCGATAACCTTACAGAGTTGCGGCCGCCCCGGCGCTCCAGAATTCCGCCTCCAAGCCCCGGCGCTGCTTCATACGTTCCTACGTTACCGCCCGGCACTCCTCCAAGTACTGTACTTCCCGTCGTCCAGCCCCAGCACGAGCGCCCCCGGGGTCAACGCTCCCCCTCCACCCGTCCCTCTCAAACCTCCGAGGCCGCTTCTTTATCTCTGTGCCAAGTCGGTCCCTTCTCCACGTCGCTTGCGACTCACTCATTTTGTGTCCTTGACTTAAGACAAACCCTCTTCCCTCCACCTTCCATCCTTCTTCCCTCACTCACTCCTCCCCCCGTGGCGTGACCCTCCTCTGGACCCTTTCCGCTCCACCTACCTCCCCTTCCTTTTCTTTCCCTTTCTACTGTCGTGGGCACGCGACTGCTTTTGATACCCGTTTATACTATACCCAACGTTCAGCCCGCGTCAGAGGGACCTCGCCGTTGCCCGACTCACTTCGGCTCGTGCTCGCTTATACCCACTCCGGGATATTTTCCGAGCCGCCTCTTCACCCATCACAGCCACCATGGAGGAGTCAAACAAAACCTACGCGCCCATGCGCACGGAAAAGGACTCCAAGTCCAACTCGCCGCTCACGCGGACCTCGTCTCAGCCCGGTGGCAGCCCGCCCCTGTCCGGCCCACTCGCTGGCGAGACGAGTGAGTTCGAGGAACGCCGCACCGACCTCGAGAAGCAGAAGACGGCTCAGGGCAGCGCCCACTTCAACCGTCTCGGCTGGAAGCGCCTCACAATCGTCCTCATCGTCGAGGCTATTGCGCTCGGCAGTCTGAGTCTACCCGCCGCATTTGCCACCCTCGGCATGGTCGCCGGTGTCATCTGCTCCATCGGTCTCGGTCTTGTCGCCATCTACACTAGCGACATTGTCGGCCAGGTCAAGATCAAGTTCCCCGAGGTCGCCCATTATGCCGACGCTGGTCGCCTGCTCATGGGCCGTTTTGGTTACGAGCTCGTCGGTATCATGTTTGTGCTGCAGCTGACCTTTCTCGTCGGCTCGCACTGCCTGACGGGAACCATCGCCTTCGGAAACATTACCAACAACGGCGCGTGTTCCGTCGTCTTCGGTGTCGTCTCGGCCATCATCCTGCTCCTCGTTGCCATCCCGCCCTCCTTTGCCGAGGTGGCGATCCTGGGCTACATTGACTTCGTCTCTATCCTGGCCGCCATCGGCATCACCATCATCGCGACGGGCATCCACGCCGGCAAGATTGGCTTCGAGAACGTCAACTGGTCTGCCTGGCCCAAGGAGAACGTCACCTTTGCCGAGGCCTTTATCGCCATCACCAACATCGTCTTCGCTTACAGCTTCTCCATGTGCCAGTTCTCCTTCATGGACGAAATGCACACGCCGCGCGACTACGTCAAGTCCATCTGGGCCCTGGGCATCATTGAGATTGCCATCTACACCCTCACCGGCGCCCTCGTCTACGCCTTTGTCGGCGTCGACGTCAAGTCGCCCTCGCTGCTCTCGGCCGGCGAGACGGTTTCCAAGATTGCCTTTGGCGTCGGCCTTCCCGTCATCTTCATCTCGGGATCCATCAACACCACCGTCGTCGGCCGCTACATCCACGGACGAATGTACCGCGACTCGATCACGCGCTTCATCAACACGACTAAGGGCTGGGTTACGTGGCTGGCCGTCATCACCGCCATCACCATCGCCGCCTTCATCATCGCCGAGGTCATCCCCTTCTTCTCCGACCTGCTGTCCATCTCCTCGTCGCTCTTCGTTTCGGGCTTCACCTTTTACCTGCCGGCCATGATGTGGTTCAAGCTGCTGAAGAAGGGCTCGTGGCACTCGCGCGAGAACATTGTCAAGAGCATTGCCAACGGCACCTGCTTCGTCATTGGCATCGTCGTGCTGGTCTGCGGAACGTACGCCAGCGTCGACGACATTGTGAGTTTACCCCGCGAGGCGAATGCAAACGAACATGCAGCATGCTAATCAGACGCGTCATAGATCCTGCAGTTCAAGAACGGGACCACCAAGGGCGTCTTCTCATGCGCGCCTGTGGGTTAGAGGAACGACGAGATGCACGGGGGGGCTTTACATTTAGCGGAGGAACATTTTATGCATGGCGTTTGGCTCCGCGATCCGGGGGGTGCTCGCCAGCGGAAGCATGAGGGTGGGCCAGTGACTCTTTCACCACCACGGCCGCCAGGACGGTCGGGATTGGAGTTGGAGGCCCTTGCTGCGTGCGTTGGCGAGGGAGCACCACCGGCGCTGATGATGGGCTGATGCGAGCGGGCAGGTTAACCTAGCGTGCCATTTTTTTTTTATATAGCTATGTTGGAAATGGCTTGTATCCATATCCCGTACGTGTGCGTCGGCGCCGTTATCATTGCACTGTGGTGTGTTGATGCTGCTGCGTATGTATGCTGCGAGCATGGTGTGGTGTGATGTCTTGGAACCGCCCGACACGGAGCCGACCATGTGTTGTCTCACGGCCGAATGCGGAACTCCCCCACTTCGACTGCCCTGCCCACGCTGCTATGTACAGGTGGTGCGTGCCGGCGTCTTAGAATGCCCATCTGGTCTGGAACATGGCCAGCATGCCAAGGCCCAAAGTCAATTGGGACGGGAAGTGTGACGGCATGCACGCACGCACGGCTCGGATACTCGGGGAATTTTTTTCTGGGCGGCCGCTTGTGGTGTCCGCTAGTGGTGGTGGTGACTACGTAGGAGGTTGCCAGTGGTCTTGGGGGTTGGTGAGTGGTGAGTGGTGAGTGGTGGTGGTGGCGCATCGGAGTAAGGTTAGGGTTTCAGTTCACATCAAGCAGGCAGACGCACCCCTCAACCCTAACTTACTGACCTGCCTTGATGACAGATAAGGTAGGGTACAGAAGTACAGACGGGGCAGATATATGTACGTAAAGTTACGTAGATGGGCGGACAGAGAGGGAGGTGTGAGGGAGAGGGAGAGGGGGAGGGGGAGGGGGAG